TTTTATTTATTTATTTTTTACTTTTAATATTTTCGTATGTTTTCTATTTGTCCTGCTCCTCATGTTGTGTTTTCTTTTCCCTCTCATTTGTTCGTCTCTTTTCTTTATTCGTTTCCGGAATTCTTAGGGAATGAGAAGGGGGGGGGGAGGGGGCGTGACGTCACAAACTAACCATCTGATACGGCATTGTGACGTCACGAAAACTGGAGATGTGCGTTTCCTGCCACGCACAGACGCTGACCTTGACTACGGCTTGGTGTTTGGGATGCAAGATGCGAATTCAAGAAGTGGGAGAAGGAGAGGAAGGAGTGGAGAGGGAGAGAGAGAGCGAGAATTTTTTATTATTATTATGTCTGCGTATGTGTGTGTGTGTGTGTGTGTGTGTGTGTGTGTGTGTGTGTGTGTGTGTGTGTGTGTGTGTGTTTGAGTGTGTGTGTGTGTGTGTGTGTGTTTGAGTGTGTGTGTGTGTGTGTGTGTGTGTGTGTGTGTGTGTACAGAATAAACATTTATACATACACACAAACATATCTCCAGCCACATTTACCCTCCAACACCTACTCATATGATTATCACGTCCTTCACTTCCTTTTCCTCCTCCTCCTCCTCCTCCTCCTCCTCCTCCTCCTCCTCCTCCTCCTCCTCCTCCTCCTCGTCATCCTCCTCCTCGTCATCCTCCTCCTCGTCATCCTCCTCCTATCTTTATTCCTATTTCTCCTCTTCCCCCCCCCCCACTCCCCCAGGTGCTTCATTTGCATACCGAGAAAAATGTTTCTCCGGAAAAGTCTTCATTCTTTCTGAGATGTAACCAAACGTTCAAACACACACACACACACACACACACACACACACACACACACACACACACACACACACACACACACACACACACACACACACACACACACACATACACACACATACACACACCCACACACATACACACACCCACACACATACACACACCCACGCACCCACATACAGTGCATACTATGTGTGTGTGTGTGTGACAGTAGCTATAGTATATATAGCAGATTTCTTTTCAGGAGGAAAATCTTTCCTTTTCTCTACTCCCTTACTCCCGTGCTTGTGTGTTCCTTCTCCTTGGCTTCCGGACCTTTTTCTCTCCCTTCCCCCATTGCCCGCGTCCTCACCCGCTCACTAACGGCCTTGTCTCCCGCAGGTGTGGCTGGACCTCGAGTCGGTCCTCCTGGGCGAGGGCCACGACCCCCTCCACCTCTACCAGTCTCCCCCGCCGCCCCTGGACGCCCACCCACAGCCGGACCCTTCGCCAGCCCTCCCCTCCCACTCCCCCCCCACGGGCGTGCCTTCGGGCGTTCCTCCGGGCGCCGCCCACTCGCCCGCCGCCCACCAGCACCCTCAGCAGCAGCCCGGCTCCTCCTCGCACGCCCACTCGCCCGCCCGGGCCGCGCAGCCCCTCGCGCCCACACACGTCAGCGCCCCTTCGCCCGTCTACGCGTCGCATGCGCCCGCCACGTCCGCCGGCTCGTCCGTCGGCCTGGCCTCCGGCAGCGTGCGCTCCATGCCGCCCCTCACGGCGCTGGGGGAGCCCCTCCCGCACGCCCACGCGCTGCCGCAGCCGCACGGGGCGCTGCCGTCGCTGCACCCGCCCGGCCAGCCGCACGCCCTGCCGTCCGCTCCGTCGCTGGGCAGGCCGGCCGCCTCGATGCCGCCCATGTGTGAGCTGACGGAGGGCGCCATGGTGTCCCCGCTGGCCGCCCACGCCGCGCTGCCGCCCACGCCGCCGCACCACGACCCCAAGTACGACTACGGCGCGGCGGCCCACGCGGGCGGCGCAGGCGGCTACGAGGCGCCGTCGTGCCGCCTCAAGGCTGAGTTCGGCGACTTCCCGCACGCCCTCGGGCCGCGTACGGGCGTGAAGCGCGCCTTCCCCGAGGCGTCGGCATCGCAGGCCAAGTACGCCTGCATGGGCGGCCAGTACAGGAGGGAGGAGCCGGCCTACGCGGGCGTGGGAGCCCCGCCGCCCCTGCAGTACATGGGCGCCGCCGCGCTGCCGCACCACCAGCAACAGCAGCAGCAACAACAACAACAACAACAACAACAGCAACATCAACAGCAACAACAGCAGCAGCACCTGCAGCACCAGGGCGCCACTCCCCAGTACGTGCTGCCGCCCACGCCGCCCCAGTACCCCGCCGGGCCCCATGCTCTGCACCCCCTGCCCGCCCACCACTCAGACTATGCCGCCACCTCCACGGGCTGGACGCCCACGCACACTTCGTACGGTGCCTACACGCAGTACTTGGACTTCAGCGCGTGCCCGCCCGCGTCCCTGGGCGGCAGCGGTGGCGGCGCGCCCTTGCCGCCACCCGATGTGCCTCCGCCGCCCGCCAAACCGCGCCGCCGCCGCGCCCGCAGGAAGGTCATCATTCACAAGTGCCCATACGAAGGCTGCGTCAAGACGTACATCAAGTCGTCGCACCTGAAGGCGCACCTGCGCACGCACACGGGCGAGAAGCCG